TAGAGGAGTGAAAGTTCCCAACAAATAAGTACTTTTTCATATCCTTCTATGAACCGTACGAGCGCGTCCTCTGTCACCCCCCACCGTGCTGGCCTACATAGGGTAGAAAAGAATGCTTTGCATAAACATCTCAATGTCCAAGATAAAAGGAACGAGGGGAAGAATCGACGAGGCGAGTTGCGATCAAAGAAAAGAAGACTTGAAAGAAAAGCCTTCTATCCCACAGCTAAGGCATCCATCCAATACAGAGAGAGCGTCATATAGAATAACTGTATCCTTTGGAAACCACTTGATTCCTCCCATTGACTGAAGTTTAGAGTCGACCTTCCACACAAGGCAATCTTCTGATAGAGGGGAAGAGGCAGAGCACAACTGCTTCTGTGGCACAAGATGCGCTGGTATTGCAAAGGCAGGAATGAGTTCACAACATTCGAATAAGCTACTCGACCGACTAAAGCTAAAAAAATTCAATTCATGCTCATGTTGTGTTCTTTAACTCTTTTTAATTTATTTAGACCGAGCCCAGTTCCTAAGCATGCAATTAAAGTTTAACAGCTAACGGTCTCGATCTTTCCAACCCCCACGACCCAACAAACAATTCATTTCATACATACAAACAACGAGAAATAAAGGATAGACATGCACGCGTTCAAAACTCTTAAGGAGAATTGGAGCTAAGAACGGCAAAAAAAGTAAAAGAGATTTTCGAAGATATCAGAAGAGCTGCTCAATGTACTACCCCACCCCGATTAACTAATTAGCCTTACAATCTACATCAAATCCTACAGCTTAATCTAGACCCAAATTTGCATTTGCATTCTTTCCTTAGAGCTAATTATGACCCAGTTATCTCTTGCTTGTGAACATACATGCCTCATTCTCCTCCCGTTGTCTGCCAGATAATTCACAAAGCATGCAAAAGAATCAATCACCCAGAACATGCCACGAAATAGTGGACCGATCTTAAGCACATTAAGAATTCTAAACAAAATAATTGTATTCTAATTCATTTGATCCAAAAGAAGACATGTCTTTGCCAAGACTCGTACAGAGAAGTAATGTAGCATGGAGTTAATGTAAAATTTGAAAGAACCAAAGGAACTCTTTAAAAGCAACATGCTGGAAGATCATTTAGGCATCTAAGTCATTCAAATTAGGACATCATTCTAATGTTAAGGGGGAACAGAGTTGGGAAGATAACCTTAGCTTAAACATAGTTTAAAACCCACTTTAAAATATTTGATTAACTGGTGAATCCAAATAAAAGCACGCAATCCTTCAAACAATAAATAATTTCACCATCTTCATTTGCTCTTTAACTAAAATAACTCTAAGAAGGTGGAAGAAAATTCAGACATGAGCCTCAAACTCAAACAGGGGATCTTAGAACTATTTTCACAGAACAAAATCAATCCAAATTCAAAGTTTGACAGATTATTCATTAAAGCAAATCGCTCAAGAAAATTAAGAAAATCAAACAGAAAGCTTCACTTGATTTCTTTTTAACTTCATATGACCAAAATTTTAATAGAATCATTCATTTACCTAAACAACTCATACCCAAATCCTACCCATCCTTAAACAGCTCTTCCAAAGCTTATACAAAAATAAGGTTAATGTAGAGATGATAGCAATAGAGATGAACCTGTTAGGTTAGAATATTTCTTGACAACAAAGAAATTCAGCAGGTACGATGACTTCAATTCCGGAAATTCAATAGCAAAACAGGCAGCAAAATTTCGGACACAATCATAAACCAAACCACGGACGGCGACAAAACTTCGAACTTGACGACTTCTCAATCAAACTCCATTTTTCAATCGAAATCCAGATCGAAAAGAAGAGATGGAATATATA